ATCAAGTACCTCTGCGCTGTCAGGCCGAGCGAGCTGCCAACGTCTTGCGCCACAAGCAAGATTTTTCCGGGATGCGGTGCGGACCGATCGCGCGGTGGAAAGGGCGGTGGACACGTGGAGGTGCACATCAGCAAGGTCCTTCATGCCCCCCGCTCGCCCAGTTCTGCATCTCGCTCTTGTCCTTGGGGCCTATTTTGAGGACAGTGGCATCATGCGCTGGCGCGAGATGGAGACACACTTGGACCGAACTTTGCGGTGAGTCTTCCCAGATTTTTTTTTTTCCATGTTACGACGGTTGTCTAGGCTGTATTTATCCCACTCTCGACGTGTACCGCACGATGGGCCTGATCGGCTCGAGGACGGATTTCCGGCCACGGCCAGGACGTGTCAGAGATGTGTGCGCCTGGGATGCTTTTGTGGAGGCCCAGGCTGTCGACATCTACGACGCACGGAGCCGTCGAGTTGACGGCGACGGTCTCGACCGAACAGTGGCCGGACTACGCCAACATGGAGCTCCTGAACACGGCTCTGCTCGGGTCGGAACCCGACTATGCGATATACACCCCCGCCGTGTTTCGAAGGCTGGAGAGCTTGCACGAAAAGTGGATCCTCAAGGCCAACCCGACGCTCCTGTTCACGCGTGACCCGCGCGCGATGGACATGATGGCTGCGTACGGCCACGCTCTTGCCGAGGCCCTCGCCGAGCTCCTCCCCTCGGAGACTCCGGCGGAGCGAGCGCATCGCGAGAGCGTGTTGGCTCGCATTCGCCTCATATTCTACCCGTGGTCCAGTCGGACGTCGCGCGGGGCGGTCGTGCAGCCGGCTCCTTGATCTCTCACGCATTCATCAAGACACTGCTTGTCGACCGGCGGATGTACGAACATGGCTGGACGTGGGTGAGTGATCAATAAATATCACTGTTGTGGCTGTAGCTGATTTTCCCAGCTCGCGTTTGTCCTCGACCCGATCTCGCTGTTTGGTGTACCGGGTATGACTACCGGTACCGGGGCGGGGCACTTCTTGGGGCCTCATGGCATTCGAGCGGTTGCCTGGCTGACTGCCCGGAGACGCAGCCAATCGCGGAGGGACTGTCTGCTCAGGTAAGTGTGAATTGATCCTGCAGGGCAGGAGTCTGAGCTTCCGCAGATCGTGATGCACGCGTGGCGGACAAGGCATAGGTATCTCGCGCTGGTGGATTTTTACTTCCTTGAACAGATCCAGCACGGGCGATCGTTCGAGCCCGAGTATCGCCACACGAAGGGAGAGGTGACGCGAGCGGTGGTAAACGGCGTCAGCGACATATCGCCGGGGCCGCGAAGGGCAAGGCGAAGAAGGAGCGTAAGTCAGAAGAGGCGGAGCGGGCGGCGGAGGCTGCGCTGCACAAGCTGTTCCCCTCGCTCAAGCGGTCGGACCCGGGGCGGAAAGACTTTTTGCTCGACGTGGTCCATCTGTGCGGTCATCGCGCGGCGCTCGCTCGCGAATGCGCGTCGATCACCGGAAAAGCGAGCCAGACGCAGGACTCCGGCGCCGGCCGCGAAGGGCAAGCAGAGAGCGGGCAAGGCGGCGGAGGGTTCCATCGCGCTCCCGCCCCTGTCATGGGAGTTGCCTGGTGCGCTCGCGCTGGCTCGACGGGGTGCTCATGCCGTTGGACAAAGGTGGTCTCCTACGTTCCTGCCCGTGGCGGTCGTGGCGGTCGTGGCGTCTGCGCAGGCGGCGATCATGGCGAGGGAGCTGCTCAGTGCGCCGGTGTGCCGCTTCTTGAAGGAGCTGAGCGCGGTGGTCAAGCACCATCTGGTCGACCAGGAGGATGTTCCCGTCTTTTGGCCGCAGTGGGCGGTCGACGAGCCCAGCGTCGAGGCCACGAGGGTGTGCCGGCGTGGGCGGAGTCTGGGGAGACGATCCCGCGGGAGTCTTTCATGAAGCTGTACGACAATCCCGCGATCGGGAGGCTCAGTCGCGAGGAGCTTACTGCGGATGGTGGTGCGGTCCAGGGCGGCGAGGGAACGGCGTTGCGGCGGCGGCGGCGGCAGCAGCAGCAAAGGCAAGAAGAAGGCGACGAGGGGCCAATCTGCGGGGGTACAGCGCCAGCAACACGCGGCGGACGTGGACGCGTTCAATCGTGAAGCCACTCGGACAAGAGTGGAGGCGTTTTTTGGGCCGATGCTGACCGTACCTAGCTGTCGCCGACGGCGGTGAACATCACACAGCCGTTGCGGGCGCGTCTCGTGCGGCGGTGCCTCGCCAGACGCCGACGACGCTTTGACACGACGATGCTGAAGAGGACGAGCTCATAGACGACGAGACGAGCGTCCTGGTGCTGGTGCGTCGTCGACGCCAGGCGCGCTTCGGAGGTTTACAACGATGCGACGGTGAGCGGTCTGGCACGGCAGCAGCGGCGGACGCCAGCGGCGTGCGCACGCGAAGGACGCCGGTGAAGAGGACGACAACATGCCGTACGACGTCTCAGCTGCGGTAGAGCGTTTATGGGTACTCGCAGACGGAGGACATTGACGCTGTGTTCGAGGACGTGAGCGCGATCTTTAGAGTGGTCCGGAGGCTGCCGCAGATCTACGGGCTGAAGCAAGACGACGTGAACGGCGTGGACCTTGATCCGAAAGCGCTTGACCCCGAGTCTACTTGCTACGAACTATCTGGCGAACGTGAGAGCGATTAATATTATTCAGGAGGCGAGGCTGATGAGATTATATTTAGGTTCTGGTGTACAAGGCGCAGCAGCAAAGGCTCGTGCGCAGAGGGGATCCGAAGCGAGGTACAACCCAGCCGGCCCTCGGTATCAGTTTAGGACGCCTGTCCTCAGAGCAGTGGGGCTTGGACCTTCCGAGCCTGGAGGCATGGTCCACTCAGTGGACGTGACAACCCCGGAAGCCGAGGTGGATGTTCTCGAAACCCGTACACGCACTACGTCACCAAAGGACGAGGGGCGAGGAGTTGTATCCGGAGCTGGAGGCCTTTGATCCGTGGACAGGTCGGTACACCGAAACGCTTCACGCGCCAGGCTGGACGCCGTCACCATCGGCGGCGGCGACTCAGCGAGAATACGAGCCCAGCGGTCCCTGGCGACTTACCGCTCCCTTCACGCAGGCGTGGCCCGTCGACCGTGACCAGGATGGCGATGTCGACATGGACGTGAACGCGGACGAACACGAAGACGGCAGGCGACGAGAAGAAGCCAGCGTCGTTCCGCCCCGCCATAACAAGAGGACGCGACAGAGCGCGAGACTCGGAGCCGGTGAGTGGCTGCGATGAACGTGTCATTTTACCCGCGTTCGCGCTGCGACGCCAACGCGGATACCACCGCACTTGGGCCTTGGTCTTTGTGTGTGCGATCATCTTGGTTTTGCGATCATGGCGCGAACGCGGGTAAGAGCCACTGTGTTTGTCTACCCGCAGTCGCGCCGCAGCGCAAACGCGGATAACACATCGCCACATTCGTCCGCCGTACACACATCACTCATGCGCAGGTTCTTAGGTCGCTTGCAGAATGCCTGAGCGCGTCACGCCCGTGCAAGTACGTTGATAAGTATCCTTATTCCTTTTGTTACCGTCGCACGCACCTCATTCATTCATGTATTGTATCGTCCGCACCTATGCATAGACTTGGCACTTCACCCGTCTCCCCAGAGTCCAACTGGCACACACAGCGTCGACTGCGTCTGCTCGCCGACCCGCAGTGCATTTTTTACCCGCAATCGCGCCACGGCGCGATCGCGGGTAAAATGGCACAGTGCCCTGCAGCGTGACTGGCACCGGCTGCGATGTTACCCGCAATCGCGCCATGACGCGATTGCGGGCAAGATGATGTGCACGTGAGGCAGCCAGCGTGATCGCGCGACGCGCGTGGTGCACGTGCGATCACGGGCGACCGGCCACCACGTGCTCTGGCCGACCCAGCCACACTGACGCCCACGTCGCGCGCGCCCCAACATTCGCTGCACGTCCTAAGTCACTTCCTGCTACCGTCTCTCACCCGCCTCACTGCTTCTTACTCGCTCGCTCCGCTATCATGGTTGGCCGGTACGATCTTCAGCAATTCACGATGGTCCAGTTCTCGGCTCTCGCAAAACGGCAAGACCTCACCGACGCTGCCCGCAATGCCGTTCTCCAGCGGGTCTACGACAATGCCATCTTCGACGATGTCGCGCCCAAGCCAAAGGAGTGGAACGCGGCGAAGCTCAAGGCTCTGAACCGGCTCCTGCGTTCGCTCCTGAACAGCGCGGTGTCCTGGCAGACGTTCCAGCACATCGTCGAGTACCACATCCTCGTGAGTCGAACATTTTGCGGCGTCGCCGCGCGACGCTAACTCGGCATAATACTTGACAGACCGACGACTGGCTGACGTCGCTGCAGCGGTCAGGTAAATACGACCAGTTCCCTCAAGTGCTCGCGCGGTGCTACGACTGGCAATATCCGACCCCGCTCCCGCCCGAAGGCAAGTTTCCGGATACGATGGAAGAGTATTTCGACTGGAGGGGCATCAAGTGCATGACGTACAACGAGGACAGCACGACCGAGACCTTGGAGGATTCGTTCACGCTGTTCATGAAACAGTGGATAGGTAAGTCTCGCTTTCGTCCATCTCGCGACCTTGCACGCTCACTCGCGACTCGCTTCTCCGTCGCAGCCAATGAGCGCGAAATGTCGGGTAAGGATCTTAAGACGGTGATGGCTGTGACCGTCTTGCTGACACTCTCTCGGTTGCTTAGACGGGCCGCCGCTCTCTTATGACACTGACGACTACAGGCTCGGTACCGCGCACCTCGTGGTCCTCGAGCGCGTGACGGATGCCGAGCGCGAGGAGGCGAAAAAGGAGTTGGCGAAGGAGTTGGCGAAGCAAAAGAAGAAGAACGCTCGCAGGGAGCATTCCCCGCCGCCGCCTGAATTCGACACTGTGGTGAGTGCTTCTTCGCGCGGTGTTGCGGTGAGAGCAACTGAACGACCGCATGCATAGCTGTTTGGTGACGACCGCTGCGAAACGTGCGTGCGTCGCGCGCACGAGGAGTGCAGGCTCCCGTTGAACAGGTTGCGGTGCCGTTGGTGCATGAACAAGAAGGTCAGATGTTCTCTGACGGTGAGTCGATCGCGTTTCTCCTCGGTACTGTGCTCACTTATGCACAGACCAAACCGGCCGATCCTGTTGGCGATGCCCCGCAGGAACGCCTCTCGCCGGCGCCCGCGCTGGCGCCTCGTCACTCGTCACCGCCAGGATCGCCGCCCGCTGCACCGCCCCGCGCCGCTTCGGCTGTGCCCTCCCGGGAGCCGTCGCGTTCGCAGTCACGCTCGCGGTCCCGGTCGTCCTCGCGCTCACGGTCTCCTTCGCCGGCCCGCTCCCGCTCCCGCTCGCAGTCCCGGTCCCGGTCGTCTTCGCGCTCGCGTTCGCGCTCGCCGGCCGGCTCGCAGTCCCGGTCGTCCTCCCGCTCCCGCTCGCGGTCTCGTTCCGGCCGTCTTCACGCTCGCGGTCGCGTTCGTCTTCGCGGTCGCGGTCGCCTTCACCGTCGCAGGCCGCCGTAGCTAACTCGCGATATCCACCACGGTACCGCGTGCTTCTAGACCAGGGCTCGCGCAGTTCACAAGGCCTGGCTGAAGATGACGATGAAGACCATCGCTCGTCTGCACGGCCGCCGTCGCGCCATACCGGGAGTTCGCGAGCCCGCACGCCTTCCGACTCCCTCTCCGGCGAAATGGAGGTGGATTCTAGGTCGGCAGGGAGGTCGAGTCCTGTTGACGCGATGCCGGGACAGGCTGGCCCGTCAAATGTTGAACGTCGCGGGCGCGCCAAACGTAGGTTGTCTCGCCACTGCATGAATTATCTCACACCGCTCACGCTGCCATAGGTCAACGCGACGACGAGCTGGACATCGAGGCCCTGACGCGCGAGGTGGAGCGGTCTGCGGGGCTGTCTATGGCTGAACGGCTGGACATCCACTACGCTGTGATCGGGAAGCTCGTCGGCGAGGTCGCGAGGCTGCGGGGTGCCGTCCGCGCGACGCAAAACAAACGCGTCCGATACACCAGCGAGGAGGTTTGAGTGAAGTTCCCTGCGCGCGCGTGACTCATGTAATAATGTACTACCTAACTTTGTGTCGAAAAAAAAGCTCCGTAATGTCATAACTCGTTTGTACCATCGCGTCGTACCGACGGTGTAGGCACACATACATTACTGGACAGTTAGGCGAACGCTACGGATGGATGCGTTTGTACGCCACACATGCATGCGGTACCCGCATTCGCGTCGCGACGCGAATGCGGGTACTAACCGGCGTGGCTGCGAGTGGTGGGCCCCACGCCGCGACAAAAAAGCGCATGCATGGCAAAGAAATACACACCCGCAACATGGCGACTGCGTCGCGCGAGGCCAGACTACTCTACTACTGTACAGACACGGTACGGAGAGGTAGGCGGGGTGCGCGCGGGCAGTCACGTGATCGCGTTCTGTCCGGCGCCTCAGCCACACCATCCGGCGCCTCAGCCACACCACCTGGCGCCTCAGCCACACCACCCGGCGCTCCGGCCACATCACCCTTCGCGCCGTTCCGTCTGGCTGGCTCTCGCCTCTTCTCTCGCTCGCTCGCTTTCTCCTGCTCGCTCGCTTTCTTCGCGATGGTCGGTACCTGGGATATTGAACGAGTGCGCAAGTACTTGCGTGACTATGCCGGCCCCGGACGTCGCCCTCACCGCAAGCCGTTGGTGTTCACGGACCGGCCCCCCAGTGCGGATAAATGGACGGGCTTGCAGCTGTTCTGGCTCAACAGAACCGTGCGCTCGGTCTACAACAGCCCGGTCTCGTTCGACGTATTCGAAGAGATCGTGACCGGGTACTTATTTGTGAGTGATCGACCCTTCGCGTTGCGGTAACATCATCCGAGCGTGTCCGTCTGGCAGACTCAACCGTGGCGCGATTCGCTGAACTACGCCGACCACGCCTCCGAGCTGTGGCCGCAGATGGTTAGGAGGTGCTTCGATTGGCTGTGGGACGATCCTCCGGAAGAGGGCGCGTGGAAGCCGGGCATGACGGTGGAGGAATGGCTTGTCGGTTGGCGTAACCGACAGCCGCGACGCATCCTCGCGAGCGCGTCGATAGAGGAACAAGAGGCCGCGATGCAGCCCTTCGCGGAGATCTGGTGGCGTGAGTGGTAACGTTCGGCGTCGCACTCTGCAATCATATCACTTACCGTTCGTCACAGACAACGACCGCCTGTTCGGTCAGTGGGTACTTGTCGTGACGATGACTCCTACCTAACTGGAAGAACTTACAGGGGGCGGTCCGGCCCAGTTTGACGAAGATGCAGATCACGCCGCGCTGAAAAACTACACCATCGACATGCGACGTGTTACGGCCCAGCAACGAGAGGACGCGATTCTCGCAGGCTTGGATTACCTCGTCAATCAGGTCGAAGGTGCGCCGCGCGGCAGGAAGACGCGGGTTGGAGTTCGTGCTGTCGCCCGGAAGGCGGGACTCCCCGATGCGACGCTGGACAAGGTGGTGAGTGATGTTTCTTTACTTTGGGCCTTACAGGCTCGATGAATTGATGATTACTTCTTCAGTACGAGGGCGCGGACCGCTGCGAGCGGTGTCAACGACCCGACATGCCAGAGTGCCGTGTGCCCGCGACCGATGTCCGCTGCGTCGCGTGCATCGGGCGAAAGTTGGGCTGCTCATTCAAGGTGAGTCGCACACCTCGCGCGCAGACGGCTCCATGCTTACGATGATAAACGGCCGGCTGTCGCTCAGAATAACAATCGTGCGCGAGAGGTGCAAGGCCCTGTGGTACTGCGCGAGGAACGGCAGATCGAACAAGACGGTAAGTCGCTCTTGAAGTTTGCCAGGGCAGACGATGCTTACTGAACGTGCTCGCAGATGCAATGGACGTGGAGCCCGATCCCGAGACAGCAGCCATGGAGCAACGGCTCGCGCAGCAACACGCCGCGCTGATCAAGCTGACGCGACAGATGGGCGGCCTGCAACGGCAGGTTCGCGGCCGTCAGTTGCGTGACGAGGACACCGGTTCCTCCTCAGATTCCTCCTCAGATTGAAGGATTGGGTCGATAAAATGTATATACGCTTGTACTTCCCTAGGTCTCGGCTTCAGTTTGTTCGCACAATGATTGATTAAGTTGAATTCATACACACTGTCCACTGACGCAGCGGGATGTCATCCGCGTTCGCGCCACGGCGCGAACGCGGGTGGGCGACGCATAGCAGGGTATAGAAGCTACATGGCAACTTGTAAGGATAAAATCGCGGAGATGATCTCAAGTAATATATCTTCGCACCCGCAGCACTAGGCGGATTGCAAGGGTGATTTTTACCCGCGATCGCGCCACGGCGCGAACGCGGGTAAGTCGTTGTACGTCGCACAGGTCGACGGCACAGCAGAACGTAACAACGAAACCGATAGCATTGACAAGCGACAGAGCAAAGCAAGATGATAACAACGTCGATGATGTACATACATGAATGAAAACAATCGCAACAGGCAGGACCGCACGTCGTGGACGCTAGCAAGTAGCATGAGGCGGATGGACGATGAAGTGAATAGTGAACCACGCGCACCTCAAACGTCGTCTCCCGCCGGCGGGCGCAACGCCTTAAGCATCGCCTTGAGCTCGTCGACTTCCTTCTCGAGTTTGGCGGTCCGCTCCTCGTTCTTGCGCACGTCGTCGCGCATGAAGGTCTCGCAGTTATCGATGTCGTTGACCAGTTCGTGGAGCTCACGCATGTGGACGGCATTGTCCGCGGCCTGCGCTTGCGTCGCGATGTTGATGACGTTGATGTCGTTCTGCTGCCTCTTCAACGACCAGACGGCGTCAAAGAGCTCGTCAAGGCGCTCGCGAACTCGATCGTCGAGCTGATCAACCTCGACGTTGATGTGACGCCAGAGCAGCTCGAGACGATCCGCCGTTGTCAGGGGCCGGGGGCAGAGACGGGGACGGACAGACGATGCAGACGGCGCGGCCTGTGGGGGTGTGGGCGGTGGTGTCGCCATGCGGCTGCCTTGCTCCATGCGGGGGCTCTTGACGGGCCTATCCGCTCCCGAAGGTTCCGGCGACGCGCTCGCGGCCCTCTTCTGACCGCGCGTCGTGGTCCCCATGCTGCCAGTGGTCGTCGCGATCTCCTGACCTCCTGCGGAGTCATCGTTCCCGCCTCTCAACTGTTGATCAAGAATTTGTATGGACGATGTTTGAGCGCGACGATCCTCAATGTATTATTGTCAGGCAAGAAGTGTGTGCTAACCGTGGAGCCATACGGACCACTCTCGCGCGATGCTGAGATCGGCGGACGGGAATCGACTAGATTAATGATCGATCAGCGCAGACACATAATGTGTGTCGCCGACACACACATACCTCTGGGGTCGACGTTCAAGATCACCGACAGCGACATGGATGCGAAACGACTGTGCGGGGGCGTCGAGTGAGTGAGTGAGTGTCAGGAGACAAGGGTGAGTTTATTTTGTCTTGGCACAGGGCGGACGCAGCATTCGTGGACACCGCGTGCCCTCGCTTGTGAGCACGGGACAACTGCCAGGAATGGCACCAAAGGTCCGGCGATCTGTCTGATCGACGCGCGAGACCAATCCAGATGGGGATTTGATTCGTACCTTACTGATATGACATTGATCGTTATGATTCGTCCTTTTTGAACCCCGATTTGGCAGGCAATCGAGCGTGGAGAGGTGATCTTGGAGAAGATTTATCAGTGGACTTCTTACCCGCAATCGCGCCGCAACGCCATTGCGGGTTAATGTCACAGTGACTTGCAGCTAGGTCCATATCGTTGGGCCCCGCACAGAAAGTGCGCATAGGAGCGGGGGTCGTCGGACGTTGGTATTTGGCGATCCGGACATTGTGCCGCTCGACCTGGGCCGCCTAGCCAAGGTCGCGGCTGCCTGGCTCAGCCTGGCCGTCAAATTCCGCTGCGCTCGGTGTGATCCCATATCAAACCCGCTGGACTCCGCCTATGTGCGTTTGAAAGGCGCGGGCCCAACGATATGGACCTAGCTGTGAGGTTAATCACCCAGCGGGTTTGCAGGGCATATTCAGATTCCGCTGTGGCGCGGGCTCCCGTACGCGCGCAAGTCGCGTTGCGCCCTCTTAGAGTCGCCAATTGCAACGTCGTACGCGGCCCACGAACATACCGCGGGCTCGGGTACAGCAACGAGCGGACCGCTGGGAAGGGTGAGCGGCTTGCGCGGGCGGGAGGCGGCGGGCGCGGGCGAGGGTGAGTGCCCACAGGTGAGCGCAGACGCACGCGAGCGACGGGCCTCACTACTTAACGTAGGCACAGGACGCGCCAACTAACGTGCAGCACGACGCGCATGCGACCTCGAGAATGCAGAGTCAATGCCTGTGTGCAGGCACGGCGAACGGCCGGCCGGACGAACGCACGAGCGGGGGCGCGGGCGGCAGCACACGCTGACTGCGAGCGCGCTGGGCAAATGCCCAGCACGCAGACACGGCCGACGAACGTGCGCAACACGAGCGGGGAGGCGGTGGGCGAGCCGGTGAACAGACAAGTGGTACATGGGTGACAGGTCGAGCAGGTGAGCAGACAGGCGGGTGAGCAGGCGGGTGAGCAGGCGGACGAGCGAGTGGGCGGGCGGGTTGGTGGGCGCACAAGCGGGGGGACGACACACACATCCACCGCGAGCGTACTAAACGAATACCCCAGCACGCAGTCACGGCGGACGCGCGCGACTCGGCGAGCTCAGGATGGGAGACAGCGACGACGGTGGGGCGTGCGCAACACGCCGACCACGAGCACACAGGGCCAGTACCGCGCGTGCAAACGCAGCCGACGAGCGTGTTGTTAGCCACAACTTTGACAGTGTTTTCATGTGCGCGACGCGCTCCGAGTTGACGTCGCGCGGCGCGGAACTCGCTTGTCGGACTAGTACTGAGCTTACTAGTCTTCTGTAATGACCATAGAGTGTTGATTGATCGACGTCAGTGTCGAGCGTATAGCGCGAGTGTATCGAGCATTAAGAAACATATTATAATTGTTTAGTTAACACGACTCTTAGAGGGCGCGACGCTACTTGCGCGCGTACGGGAGCCCGCACCACAGCGGAATCTGAATATGCCCTGCAAACCCGCTCGGTGATTAACCTCAAGTGTCACGGTGCAGTTGTAAACACAATCGCGCTGCAGCGCCACCGCGGAATGATTAAAAGCTTCGTCACTGTGCACCTTATTTTCAAATCAAAAACTCCCCGGCTTTAACTACAGGGTCTTGCATACTTTTTTGACAGTCGCCTCGCGCGATTTTTTGTTTGTTCCGACCAAAGTCAGCCATATCCGGTAGGTGTTGAGCCCAAGCCGCTCTTGTTGAACGAACGTCGGTGTCGGGCGGGAATGAGCAGGTAGCGTCAAAGAGCGACGGGGTATCTCGATAGAACGTGTGCGGTTTGTCTCGTCCTCGGGACGGGGAGGCAAACGCGCGAGGTAAATACATGCGAACGTCGAGCTAATAAAGTGAATCCTTATCTAAGTAAGGTACGAATCGGGTGCAATCATATCGCGCCGCAGCGCGGCGCGTCGGCGAGCCGGAAATCGGGTATGCGCTCGCCCGGTTGTTCCAACAGCTCTACACGTGACATGCCTGACCATGCTACCTGCCGGATTTGGGTGCCTTTGGTCGGAACAAACAAAGATTCGCACAACACGACTGTCAAAACAATATGCTAGACCGTGTAACCCGCCATTACACAGATAGAGCAATAGGTATCACGTGATTAATGATTACCCGCAATTCGACAAGTAACGACTCAGCACTCCAGCCTTCGTGAAGTGGGGGAGTGCGGCGCGCAGGGCCGTTCTTTTGCACCACTGTAACCTGCACCAAATCTTCCGCTCACAGTGACTTGTCTCTCGCAAAGACATACACGACATGATCCTGTGAGCAATTGAACCAATAATCCTGCAGAACATGTCTGCTTGGCCTTGCACTACCACCACTGACATTGCAGTGAATGCTGTTGTGTGCCTTGCCAGTTGCAAGGCACAACAGCATTCAATTATTCGGACTTGGCAAGAGTCAGGGTAGCTCTACACTACTACTGTAAATGGTAGAGAAGCAGGACCACAATTCAGATCATATATTATCTGTGGTGTCTGCTCGCGCAAAATTGAGACAGATGGTGCAGGAGAGTGGTGCACGCCACTTTTCCTAACTTCTTCGAGGCTGGAATGCATAGCCATTGTTTGTTGCCCATTTTTGCCGTTCTGAAGATTGCTGTGATATGCTAGTGCTAGACCCCAGTTAGTATTTTGGCTTTGCTACTTGCAGTAAGTAAGTATTGTAATGTGACTGGTTGATTTCTCACCAAGTTTCTCAGCACGTGGGCACCCTGCAGCCTTCTTTGGAAAACTCTGCTCAATCAGGCAACAGCAGCCACTTTGTGAACCCTTCACTACATTGTCCAAATAATTTCAATCTGAATATTCCTCGACTGCCTGCTCGCTGCTCGGAACTGTCAGCATACTGAAAAGCTTACTCACACTATACTTGGATAATATAAGGCATTGAGCAACACTTGGCTGACTGAGTGGGACTGAGTGCCAGCCCAATACCCCTGTATGTGTGTTGTGAGTTACTGTATTCAGTATGTAACTCTATGCAATGGACATTACACAGAGGTGTTTCACAAATGCATTGTGCAATATTTCTCCCAGTTGATCAGATGTTCTCGCTGCAGCACAATTCCAATTAAAGGGCTGATATTCATCAAATGATACATAGTAAGGTGTAGATAGCGCATGGCAGGGAGCCAGGGAGCCTGCAAACAGGTGAGGTGCGAGGGCTTCTTCAGCTCCCAATGCCACTCAGGCACAAAAACAATTCTATTAAGGTCGTGCACCCACATTGGTCCGCTTGCTCAGCTCACCCTCGTGCCTTGAATAAATAACTGGATGAACCTCAGTCAGAGTGAGGTGTGGCAAGAGGAGAGTGAGCTCATCCTGCAGGCCAAGGGGGCTGTTCAAGCAAGTGTCTGTGTAGGAGCAATCAAGTGAATAATAGGGTGAGCCAACAAGGGATAGGAACAGGGAACACAGGCCATTTGTCTTGTGCTTGAAGCCAGGAGGCAAGCACACAAAGGGGGCATAATTGTCAATGCGCATACAGTGACCTTGGGCGTAGTGGGTACATCAGCGTGCATTTTTGGGCACTTCCTCGCGAGGAAAAATCTAAGTATGCTCAAATATGGGCCAGTGAGTTCCTTGTCCACAAGCTCCATGTAAAATACCTTGGAGGTTTCAAATTGGTTCCTCAACACTAAGTGTGCATTTTGCTGTGTCCGGGATACTTGTCAACAATTATACCGACTCTCTTGCACCTGTTATGAGTTCAATGAGCTGCTAAGAACAGCTCTTGCCTTGTATAAAATGCTACCAGAGGAAAGTTGTGTGCTGTGAGCAGTTAAGAGTGCAAGCAACAGCTTATTATTATTTTGTAAGCCATCTCTGGTATGTAGCACTTTGTGCTGAACAACAACTGGAGCACAAGAGAACTTTGGGCCCTGCGACTGGGTCCTTGCAAAGCCAAAACCTAACCTTTCAAAACTGGGCACTAAGCAAGCTGTGACATCTCAGGAAAACACTGTGCTGTGCCAAACTGAATTGAATTTGGGAGTGTCAGCTGTTTGGCCTTGCAGTGTTTGGTGTGTTTGTGAGGTTGTCTCCTAAGCTGTGCACAGCTAAGCGACACTCCTGAACTGGCCAAAAAACTGAAGGGAATGTGCTACTTGGGTAGGGCAGAGCAACAACCCCCGTGTGAAAACAGTGGCAAGCCAAGACTGAGTGACCCAGGCATTTTGTGAAGACTTGGGCAAGGACTGAAGTTGAGCACACTGCACAGAAAGAACAACAAGGTGTTATTATGAAGTGATAGTGTACATCTCATCTTATCCATGTGTGTAGTGATCTGACTTCCATTATAGGGTGTTTCTGTAGGAAATTGGAGCACAGAGTACCCTCTGATTACCCTATATAGAAATTTCTATATAAGGAAATTTCTATATAAGGAAAGTGTGAACATTTAAATTACTTGAGTGTGAAGGTGCGCGCCCGCGCGCATCCACAGACTGTACATGCATACCACATTAGCTGCAGAGATCACGAGAGGTGTGGAGACGCGCAATTGCGCACCTTCACAACTTAGTCACGTGCACGACATGAACCGTAGAATCTACTAAATGTGGGGAGGCGCGCGATTGCGCACCTTCACAGCTAAGTCACGTGCACGGCATTAATCGTAGAATCTACTAAATGTGGGGTGACGCGTGATTGCGCACCTCCACATCTTGGACATGCAAGTCACTATATACATGGAGGTGAATGTATGCTGACATATATCACTATATATGGACACGCGCGATCGCGCATCTCCACATGCAGCCCCTGCTGGGAGGGTGCGCGCAGGGACCGATGGTGCGCGGAAATGTGTGGAGGTGCGTGATCGCGCACCTTCACAATAGTGTATGTACCCATATGATTGAATAGGCGCTAAGTGTGTGAACGCGCGCGATCGCGCACCTCCACACATTTCCGCGCACCCTCCCACGATAATAACTGGACGCCCGGTGAGCGGGGCGTTGTCGGACACAGCAAGCACAGTAGTAGTAGCGAAGGGAGGGTGGGTTTGTGGGAGTACTAGCTGGTAGTCTACTAGTACTGTGTACTGTACTAGTACTACGTTCTGTGAGCAGCATTCTGACGACCATCTGAGATGGCGTGTGAGGTTGGCCTGAAGGCTGTCTGACATCAGAGATTAGCTCTGAACTGATCTCCCGTTCTCAAACGCAAAGTCTGATGGGTCTGAATGTCTGACGAGTAAGTTAGTACCAGACCATTTCAGATAGCCTCAGACGAATCTGCAGTTCTGCTGATCGGCGCCCGGCCGCCCGCACAACTCCGAGCGCGCGGGCGCTGTCACGGGATCGCGTCCACGTCTCAATACAGCATTTGGGCTTAATTTGGGCGGGGTGAGCTTATGTATAGCGCCGCTTACTGAGCCGAACGAAGAGCAGTTTACGTGGTTGGTGAGCTCGTTGTAAACATATACTAAGTAAGTGATTGACCGAGTTCAGCAGAAATCGATTCACTCACAGATCCTTGACAGCTAGTAATCAACAGAGATCACTAGAAGCTGTAGTAAACGGTCAGGTTGTCACTGCGCAATTCATAGGTGAGTCGCTGGCCGTCACTGGTCGGTATGTACATAGCACTGAGTACTACAGCAGTGTAGCTGGGTGAACATGGACCGTCCAGCTTGGTCAGACCGCACGCGTGTGATTCTGCACGCTGCTGCACTGACCCGGCTCATCCCCGTACACACGCAGGTTTTTTTCCACGAGCTCGGCCCTCTTGGTCCGGCTTATGGCCCAATCACTATCGAAGAGGCGTATGAGAGATGGTGCAAGCACATGGGGGAATGGCTTCGCATCATACGTGTCCGTACGACCTCTGATCCCCGAGTCCTGAACGTACTCTACATGCAATCGGAAATCGATCGGCTCGAGGCAGTCATGATCGCATTAGCAAACTTCATCACTCCGTTGTACAGGTACTGGGGATTCTCACGCACATCGTTCCCCATCCACACCCACAATCGCCGAGAATGGCAGTACATTGCCATGTCAACTGTCAGTCTCATGCACTTGGTGCGGGAGACGGTCGATTACTGGCATAGTACGTTATCTTTACAACGATCAAACTGCTCTCACAAAGCTGACTCACTACACAGAAATCTTGAACAACAACAGTAGGTGTCACAGCATCGGTATATTATAATCTGCTCACTGTCCGCTGGTACAGTCAAAGCGGGCACTCTGTGGCCTGATCCACCCATCAAGCGGATCCTCTGGAACCATCATACACAGGAGGCAATCCACCTCAATGTCGCTACAGACGAAAAGAGGACCTTGCTTGACTATTCTGGTCGGTTTGTGCAACCAGAGGCTCGGTGGTTCATCCCCTACGGCCACATAAATCACACAAACGAACACGAGTTCTTTGAGCGCATCTGCGCGCACATTGCCATTCTTATACATGAGCGGCAATGGCGCATTGATCGCGAGATTGAAATGGACGAAGACATTCATGTCTGGGTTGACCGCTGGCTCCGCCATCTCCGGTCACTATTGATCATGATCCACGGTGCGCGCATCTCCCTCACTCCGGTTGTTGTCTGTCTGAATAACCACAGAGAATCTCGACCTCCGCTCTGAGCGGAGGCCACCCATCTGGCTAGAAATCGACCTCCCAAGTGATCGAGCCCTTCCGGACGGTCCATACACTCTCAGCATTGGACAACTCACTTTGCTCCTCGCGCATCCCGAGGAAATCGATTTCTGGGAAACACAGTCAGCAGCACGCAAGCCCATGCTGATGCCCGAGCCACGAAATCTCGTGAACGACAACACAGCTCGTCGGGTTTGGCTGGCACGCCAGGCCCTTCATTGCGAATACGTTTATCGCCGCCTTCAGTTGGAGCGCACGACGATGGCCCAGCTCAACGAACGGTTTTTGCGGGAAGGCGGGCCTTCGGCGTTGGCGCGAGCACAGGGCATCGACCTTCTTTCGGACCGCATGCAGTGGTTCCGTGCGCAGATCGAGCAGTACGAACAGGGGTAAGCACCGTGGAATTTACCAATTACACATTGACACTAAGCAGGTACAGATGAACTCGTGTCATGTAGTACATACGTAGTGAATGTGTATGCGCGCGGTGCTATGAATTTTCCAACATAGAATGAAAGGTAAGTCAACAGAATGTATGCGCACTCGAAATCAGTAGTGCGCGCACTGACCACTTACATATGCGCGCAGTAGGTATTTTAACTGAAGGTACGCCGACTCACTTCTGGAGGTGCGCGCACCACACACACCAGTCAAGTGCGGCTACATCAGGTAAGTCGACGTACCGCACCACAGTTCACCCAAAGTGAGTACAAACCCGTGCGATAATCACCGCAACGCAGCCGTGGTGTGCACCTTGACAGTCACTTGAGGTCAGTGCTCATACTCACCCACCGCAAGGCAGCACGCACCACTGCAAAGGGCACTGCAGCCAGTTGGTACCCACCTGCGCAACAGTCACTGACATTCCCATCTGTCTCCAGAGTCAGAGTCCAGCGCGCGCATAGCACATACGGTCAGCTGACTTGTGCTCTGCACGTCGCGTCGATCTCACCAGCCACCCGCCACTGGACTTAGTAGACGCCAGGTGACTTGTGGCTGCGAGCGCGCGGACTCACTCTCTCACTCTCTTCCACTCCCTTCTTCCACTCCCTCATCTGTTTCCTCCCCTGCTCGCTTACTCGTACACTTGCCTGTCCCTCGACACGATGGTGGGTACCTGGACCCTCGAAGACGTGAAGCAATACCTACGCGAGGCGGCTACTGAGGCACAGCTCGACATCGAAGAGCGCGGTCCGCTCGAATTCACGGACCAGCCCCCGGAGCGGCATGAATGGACGGAGGAGATGGTGGAGCGGATGAACAGGACGATCCGTGCGCTGCTCAACAGCCCGGTCTCCTATGAGGCGTTGGACGAGATACTCAAGTGGTATCTACTGGTGAGTACCGTTGCTGCTCACGACGGGATGCGGGGACGGTGACGGCACATGCCATGCTAGGACGAGAGATGGCGGCATTCCCTCAACTACGTCCCCAAGGGCATTCTCTTCCCTCGCGTCCTTGACGAGTGCTTCGCCTGGCAGTATTGGGACGAGCCGGCGGAGGGAGCGTGGAAGGAAGGTCTCTCATTGGAGACGTTCCTGTCCGAATGGCGGCAGTGCCAGGTGAAGGAGTGGGACATCAGGACGCCGAAGGAGGAGGAGGACGCCGGAATGCAGGCATTTGCAGAGATCTGGCTGCGTGAGTACTTCGTCTTGTACGTGTGTGACCTTCAAGCTCACTGCGTGCACGTCTCAGACAATGACCACTTGTACTGTAAGTCTGGCACAATGTGCCCAACTGCCTGCTCTGACCATGTGTGCGTCTGCAGCTGGGACCCCTGTCCAGGAGTTCGAGGACACCGACGCCCCGACGATGATGTATGAGATCGACCGTGGGCGCGTCACGGACGAGGACCGCAAGAAGGCGATGCAGAGACGCGGTATCTACCTCGCGATGAAGGCCAAGGGTCACGCACCGGCCGCAATGAGCGACCCAATTCCGCTGAACAAGTACAAGAGGCCGAAGGACCTTCCACCGAAATCGCTCGACACCGCGGTAAGTCTGTCAGTGTACTCGCTGTTGACAGTGACGTACCTGCACGCATCGTAGTTCTACGGCAAGGACTGCTGCTTGCGCTGCCTGGACAGAGGCTTAGTCGATTGCCGCGTCCCGAAGAGGGACTATGAGGACCCGCGCTGCGTCGCGTGCATCGACGCACGCAAGGGGTGCTCTTTCAAGGTGAGTTTGGCATGTGTATATGTACCGACAATGGACACTGACCACTTACATGCAGAAGCACGGTCTTCCGGTTGTGTCGAAGGGATCCACCAGTGCGTCAAGTACTACGCGCACTCGAGCAAGCCATGCGCGCACCCCGCCAAGTCGTGCGCGCACGAGGACTTCGCGGGGTCGTACAGATGGGGATGCAGAGGCTTCCGATGTCGGGGCCGGTAAGTTTACACGGTCTGTCTGGGATTACTGTGCTAAAACACTGCTGATGTAGCTGGGAAACGCGGAGCCCCGAGAACGAGGAGGTGATGGGAGAGGAGGGGACAGCTGCGAAACGCGTGAAGCGTCGGAAGCTCGTCGAGTAGTCTATATACGCAAATGTAACTGTAGATGTAGATATGAATCCCCGGCACTACTACCGTAACCATCCGCGCGCAGGGGTGCGCGCGGATGTTGACCCTTCTCAACAGACAAAAACCACATGCATGTAATTTGTGGACAGGCGCGACCGCGCACGTCCACATCTACAGCACTGTAGGGCAGCCATTAGACGCCCACCACGTGTCACACGTGTGAACACGCGCGACCGCGCACGTCCACCTTTCAGCGAGTCATCAGCGTCTCTGAACGAGTCTGAGATGTGGACGTGCGCGATCGCGCGTGTCCACATCGACAGCACCGGTGAGAGAACCATTACACACCCGTACAATATGTCTGATTTGTGGACATGCGCGGTCGCGCGTGTCCACATTCACAGTCTTGCTGTACAGCAAGCATGTGTTAAGTCGCCTGTGATACGTGTCAGATATGTGGAGGTGCGCGCACGCGCGTGTTCACGAATCTGACACGCATCCGGGCACTTGTCAGAGCCCCTACTTAGGGCGTTGGAAGTGTGGACACGCGCGACCGCGCACGTTCACATCGAGACCGCTTTGTAGGGGTGTGTGTAGGGTTAGGAGTGCGGGCGAAAGTGTGAAGATGCGCTCGCGTATCTTCACACTTCAAGCCCCTTCCATAGCCATTATAACAGCAAAACGGATGCGCATCATCGTAAGTGTTCACCTTGGAGGCCTGATCATTAGCCTGTCTGGTAGGGCATCTATGCGTCTCACATGTGGACACACGCGGTGACGCACGTCCACATCCAAGGCACCCATTGTGTAGGGGCTCTGTCTGTGTCGCCGTACTTGTGCGCGCACAGTCATCTGATACGCCAGTGACATACATACCGCTCTCCTTACAGTCCCGTCGACAAGTCTTAGCGTATGATATTAAATAATTGTGAGTTCACGCGGTTAGTATTCCGACCCGCCGCTGACCGTACGCGCATCAGATGATGAATGCATGCGCATTACATGCGGCACGGGTAACTCCCGTATCGCGCGCACCAAACTTTTCCTCTCTCACCGTCTTGTCGCCATCGCACCTCTGCTCGAACCTGTAAGTGTTGCGTCCCCGTCTGTTTGTCGTGTGCTCACCATACATCTGATAATCAGCATTCGACACAGACGTACCAGAATGGGTCCCACAGTCTCTCGGAAGAAGAGAAACAGTATCGCACGGGGCACAGCGCAGGAGGAGCCGGCTCCAGCCCAGTCGAAGACACCGCTGTCGAAGGGGAAGCGCAGAAAGCAGAAGGAGGAGGAAGAGGATGACATAGACAATGCAGTGGGGTCTACGGTGCGCACGCTCAGGGCTTGCTGTCTGAAATCTGTCCACTGATCTCGTGGATCAGAGTCTCGCTGTGCAGGATGTTTCGCAAGACATCATCCTGGGCTATGAAGAGACGCTGCGGAAGGCGTTTTACGGTCCTGCGCGGCTCGCGACGCTGCCGTTCTTCGCGGCGCATGACAACGTCAAGATCGTCACGCGTGAGGTGAACAGTCGCGACCTCGACGATAACCACATCAAAAGTTGTTGATTGACTTCAAAAAGAACACCTACCAGCATCTCGTCTACGGGCACCGCATCAAGATTGCAGTCGAACGTGATGCCATCGACTTCAAAGTGGATGGCCAGGTGACGCACCCGAAAACGCTTCCATTCGTCACCTTGAAACCAGGCAAGGACGGAGCTCCGCGCCCGGTGTACGTTATTGTCGGTCAGCACCGAATTTCTGCGAGCATCAGGTTCCTTGCGGACACAGTCGCAGTGTGGGAGAAGGCGAAGGTCGACCTCGCGAAGCTAGAGCCTGGTGACCCTGACATCCCAGACCTGGAGCTACGCTGTGAGAGGCTGCAGAGACAGCTCCGCCAGCAAGGCTGCTGGCTTGTAGATGTGTACATATGGGGTGAGCACTTTGCACGCGCCGCCGCTCCTCCCGCGAAAACATCGACTTATCTCTGGCAGATGACCTTGGCGATCGCGCTGCGGCCGGATGGCTCGCACAGAACGTGGGTTATTCTGAGAAGGTCGAGACGAGCGAAGATCTGCTTCGCTCGCACATGGTTGAATTGCACGGGCTTCGAGACTCGCCAACCCAGCTCCAAACGCGCCTGGCGGTCATGGTCAGCGGCATCCGGGGGGGTCGACAAAGGCATCGGGCAGCCACATCAAAACGACGCTGACCGAGATGTACACCGTGCAGCCGGTCCGTCACTTCTTGTCGTCGCTCACGAAAGTCATCCACGCGGACCGAGACAAGATGGCGCACTATTTCTACGATAACGGTTTCTTCAAGTTCAGCACCTGGGCCAAGATTCTGAAGATCTCCGGAGGCGTGAGTGGTCTGTTGTGTGTGCGCGCACCCATTTCTCATGCGTGTCTACTCCTAGGTCTTCACTTTCGCGCTACTGCGTGTCTTCTGGCTGATGGGTATCGTTGGCTCAGCCACCGCCTTCGACTCGTCGGACGTTGTCGAGAGAACCTGCGCAAAGTACAACATGGCTCGCTTGATGCGCAGCAGGTACTTCTCACTGCTCGGAGAAGGCAAGACCACAGACGCAGCAGCTTTCCTCACGGAACAATCGAACGCATTCGTGCTCGACGCAGAGGACGGTGGAACATCCACACCGCGGTCAGCACTGAATACGATTCACTCAAGCGTCGCTTCTTCGCCGGGGCCAAATCGCCGCGGTACACAATCTGGACGGACGCGATGCTCGACACCGTCGAGCGCGTGACGTCAGACGAGATCAAGAACTCGAAGCTGTTGGGTGTCCGCTCGTCGGCGGCTTTCAAGATGATGTCAAGATACGGCAACACGATGACGGGGCAGCTTGTACCGAGGTCGGAGGTGTCTGACGATGATGAAGGGCCGCATGTGCCGTCGTCACTTGACGCGGTCAGTGGACGGATTACCTTCTTGTACTACGGCTGGTCCTACATCAAGGGTGACGAGGAGTTTACCCCTGCCCTTCCATTTCTCTGCGCGTCCCTGCTTCGGCTGCTCACCGACGAGTGTCTTTTGTATTCGAGAGGTTGGGAGAGGGTGCGTGTGCGCGCACATCTGGGCGCAGGACATGCATACTGACATCGTGCTACGGTACACAGATTGCATGGCTTTTTGAGCCGCTGGTCTACCACCGTTGGATGTTCGACATCCGCAACATCAATGTCGACGCGACGATCGCGGCGCTCTATGCGGTCACCACGTATGCGAACATGAAGGCGGGGGCAACGGACTGGATGTCACCGGACAGCGTACAGTGGGCGGTGAGTCGTCTCAGTCGGAGCGCGTGCGCAAATGGAGCATGCTAACTGTATTCTATCTTGACAGATTGCGCAGGAGTGGCTGGCCGACAGGCACAGCTTTGCCGCAATCCTGCATGAAGAGACAACTGACCTGCCGCAGGTGGTCGCCCTTCGCGGGAACACGAAGAAGTGGTTCGTTACGACGTTTGAAGTCTACACGGAGAAGACTGTAGTAGGCGACGCGGACGAACTCAAGGCCACCGCGGTGAAGATGATTGCGGAGACGGCAGTGGCTGATTTCGCGCCCGACTTCAGCATTGCCAACCATCTCTCGCTCTGCATGACTCACTATGTCCCGCTGAAGAACGCGATCATGAAGCACCGGCAAGATGCGCTTCGGAACTTGCCCGGGCTCGAGGAAGATGTGCTCGGCATGCG